GTGCTTCACAAATATTATCTCATTTGATCCTTGTAACAACTCTGGCAGGTAGGTGTTATTCTTATCCTCATTTGATATATGAGGAAACTGAAGCTGACAAGAGGGTAAGTGAATTGCCCAGGGTCACACAACTAGGAAGTGTCTAAGGTTGCATTTGAGCTCAGGACTGTCCTGACTTCAGGTCCAACTCTCTATCCATTGCCACTTACCCGCCAGAGATTTCTTCTAAAAGAGTTAAGATTTCCAATTTGCATTTTAACACTAATACCTTCAGATCATTTGGGTAGGAGTGTATTATCTAAATTCACAATGCTTTTTAGGGGTTGATGAATTTTTTCATGACTCAGTCATGAAGATCCAGTCAGATGGTAATGGGTCAGATAAAATAAGAGTTGATAAAAGAGATAAAACACAATTTTAAAGGGATTCTGTTTTGGTTTCATTCAGTTTCACACATAGAAGAGTGCGCGAATCAAGTTCCCTATTACTCCACTTACAATTCTTTTGACTTCCCAGATCACAACACCTTTCTCTGGCCACCGCTCCTTTCTATATGTTATCTTCTCCTTTGATTTAGAATGCAAGTTTCTTGAAGGGAGATACTATACTGCTTTTGAATTTCTATTCCCAGTTTAGCAGTGCCTGGCATATAGCAAGCCCTTATAGAAATGCTTTCATTCATTTGTTCATGCATTCATTTGTTCATGAATGTTTGCATCCATCCATCCATCCATTTATTTATTTAGAAATTGCCCAAAATAAGTGAATAACTCTGTGGCCCTCCATTCATGCTCAGAGCAGTGGATCAGCTCCTTGAAGAATTAAACCTACTGTTCATTTGGGCTATAGCATGAATATCATAACTCTAGGATTAAAGTCCCAAACACTCCCTTTCTGGTGAAACCTCTCTTCTCTTGCCTTATATCCATTCCCACCAAAAGTCAAACTTCCGAGAAAAATGCTTTGTTCTTGGAAAGTAACATCTGGAGAGACATATTGGAGAGTGAAGTCTGGAGTGACTTATCACCCTATTTTGCCATTGACATAAAAGTGAGGTCAAGTCAGCTCTGGGCCCCCAAGGCCACTTTCCCCAACAGCTTAAAAAGATAAACAAACCAAAGAGCAGATAAGTGTTTCAGAGTTGATTCAAAACCAAACTTTTTTATGGGAAAAGCCACTTTTGCAGCTGCAAAGTAAGGATCAACTTCCAAAAGAACAGTTAGCTGCAGACTGCCCCTCCATCAGCTGGGGCTGGATCATGCAGTCATTAGGCTTCTAAGAGTGAGGGGAGGGAGGAAAACCAATGAAACCATTCCTTTATCTTAAGAATCCAGACTCAAACTATTAGGGCAAAAATAATTGTTCAATTCAGATCCTGTTTTGACCAAGAAAGGGGGGATGATCTGGACAGTAACTTTCCCATTAGATTCTCTTCTCCCTTCCCCCCACCAGCTCCCCTGCATTTCCATCTCCATCTATTTGGAAATATTGGCCTTGCCTCTTGAGGGCTACCTTAATGAGCCACAGAAAATCAAAATGACCTGAATTTTTTTTTTTTGCATAGGTTGATTTGATCACACACCTATAGATATGATATATTTCTAGGCAAAAATGAAGTTCTCTGAGTAGGGGAGGTCTATGGAAATTAACTGTCACTGCTTTTGATTTAGGAGATACACCTACTGAAATAAGCCCAAGGCTTTAGCTGGATTTAGAAAGCTAGCTTAACATGGGCCATCCATATCTAGATGACTCTGGCCTAAGATCTTGGTTATGTAGGCCAGGAGGCACACTCCTCTTAGCTCAGAATTCTATAGACTGTAGCTTTGATGGGCAAGGTCCTGCCAAATATGGAGCTTATTTCTAGGATAATAAACTAGACAAAATGATGCCATCACCTTCATGATGGGGTTCAAACCCAAGCTGTACCCATACAAAATAGGAAAACTGGACTGATTCACAAGGGAGTCTAGCTAATGGGTGACCTCATTCATTGTTAACTATTCCTCTACTTTCTTGGGGATACCTTAGAGCAACTCCTTTAATGAAGACATGACCTTCCCTTGCCAAAGGGATACAGGAGCTACGGTATGGTCCTCTTGAGTAAGGGAAGAATTTGTAACCGAGAGGAATATAGGAAATGTGCCTCAGTGATAAGAACCATAGCCTGACTTCAATTCTAGCCTGTTACTACAATGAAAACCTCAAATCACTTGAAATTAGGGGTCATTTAAATTGTATCTGTCGTGGGAATACGGGATACTTCATCTCGTAACTGGTACATACTCTGCTGAGTGTCTGGGATCAAGGTCTATATGTTGTATTTGACACATCTATGTTTCTCTCTGAAATTCCATCTGATACTTGAAATTCTCTTATACTAAAGTCCTGTTATGGTATGGCAGTGACCATGAGCTCTCAAAAGCTATGTCAGTGGAGCACAAGGTCCCGTAGATTTTGATTTATCAAGATTGAAAAGCTTCCAGTATAACACAAGTGAACAGAATATTCACATGTTGTCTGGAGAACAATCTACCTCACTTCAAAGGTTACTGGTAGAAGGCTGGCTGCTAGGGAATGGATTTTTTGGCTAGATCACCTCATGAAACATGAAACATTTGACACGTCAATGGAGGGGGTACCCACTCTGGTGAAATCATGGGTTTTTCCAAGTACCAAGTACTTGGAGTTTCCAAGTACTTGAAAAATCCTCACAATATAGACAATGTCTCCTGTACTGACATTCCCAGAATCCTGGAAAATGGAAGGATTAGGAAGAAAATGCTTAGGAGTTCCAAGAATATTTCCTATCTCTCTTCTTTCCCTTTCCACCATTATTTCTATGATTTCAGGCAGATTGACCCACAAAATAGACAGAGGAAGGAATGATTTATATGACATATTTTATTCATCTATTACTAACTTCTCTGTAATTATTTTCTGTGTGTTTGTTATCTTATCCTTCTTTTGTGTCGTCCCTCCACCCACACTTTAGTGTAGAGCACCTAGTTCTAGGGAATGGGAGAGGGAGGAGTAAATTTGGAATTAGGAGGTCTAGGTTCAAACCCTAGCCCTGCCACTTACTGCCCTGCAAACGTTAGCAAATTACTGATTCTCTCTCATTCTCAGTTTCTTTGTCTATCAAATGAAGGGGTGGGACAAGACCGCCTCTGAGGTCTCTTCCAGCTGTAAATCTGGTAACATGAATGGAAGGAGGAAAAGGAAGAGAATGGATTTCTTCATTGTAAGGTTGTTTTCTGTTGGACCAATTGTTTCCTTCAAAACAGAAGTCATATTTCTGTAAGGCTCTCCCCCAACCCTACCCTGGCCCCTACCTATGCTTAGTCTCACCCTTCCTTGGCCTTTGTGTTAGTATTGTCTCCCCTTAAATGTTATACCTTCTTAATGTAGATGATTTCCGCCTGCTTCCAGATTTTAGATTTCTTCCTCCTATTTTTCCATCCCTCTTTTTCTTTCTTTCTTCCTTTCCTTCCTCTCTTCCTCCCTCCCTCCCTCTCTTTCTTTCTTTCCTTCTCTTTCTTTCCCTTCCTTCCTTCCTTTTTTCCCTCCTCTCTCTCTCTCTCTCTCTCTCTCTCTCTCTCTCTCTCTCTCTCTCTCTCTCTCTTTGTTCGTTTCTTTCTTTCTCTCAGACCAAAAGCAAACTTTTCCTGAAGGTGGAATAAGCAAGTGTTTAGTGAGGCTGCAAAGCCCTTAATCTTCCCTCTAGAAAAAAATGGTTACCTGAAAAAAAGTAAAAATAGCTTTATATCTACCACTGAACTTCAAGCCCTGGCTGCTATTTCTGACCCATGCATACCCTCCCAAGATTCCAGGTGACTAGTGTCCTTTTCATTTCATTAAGCTCTTTCAAGGTGTTTTTTTTTAAGCACCACCAACTACTTAGTGATTCTGAGTGAATTAAAAGGTACTGAACAAATGTATAGAAATAGAAAACTGTAAGTGGGTTCCCACTGAGCTCTATGGTCACACCCACTTTGCTGTGGCTTTAGATCAGTGGCTTCCTACCCTCTGGTTCCTGTTGGTTATCTAGCCAGGAAGTCTGAACATTCCTTTGCACAAAAGAATTTTCTAACTTAGATATTTCCCTGAATGTCAGTATGACCAAATTACATTTTTTTTTGTCTCTACAATGAATGCCAGGGTTTAATTGCCCACACTTACAACCCAAGCTCTGTCTAGCATGGACAGAGGTGCCTCTGATTCTTCATAATTCAACTCAAGTCAACACATATCTGTTAAATGCCTGTTACATGTAAGGCACTGTGCTAGCAGGTATAAGAAACTGTAAGGTAAATTGAGGACCTGAGGACACCACAGATTACATTTAAGTAGCCTGGGTGCTCCTAAATTGGGTGTCAAGATGCACAGGGAAAAGAAAAGGGGAGATGAGAGAAAACAGTGAATGAAATGAAGACTCTAGTCTGTTAGGTGGTCAGTCTGACCTTTAATGAAGACATCCTTTGGGACAGTATCTGGGAATATTTATGAGATAACAAATATTCTTAACATATGGCATTTGTCAAACTATCATTGATTTGGGGCATCTTTCCAATAAAAAAATTCCTTGTTGGTGTCTATCACATTTACTATTCATCAGCCCTAAATTGAGATAAAGACTTGACTTGAGATTTCTCTGGTATAAGAAGCTCCAGATGAAGAACTTCCTCTACTAACTTCTCTGCAACTTGGAGTCTAGAGCAAGTGAGAGGTTAAGTGATTTCCCTAGGGCCACACAGCCAGTGTGGGTCAAAGGTGGGACTTGAATCCATACCTTCCTGGCCATTGTACCACACTGTCTCTAGTTTAGGGGTATTTAGCCTCGTATGTTTATTAAAAAATTTTTTTTGATAACTAAATTTCAATTAATTTCCTTTGTAATTAATTTCAATTTCATTTAATTTTCTTGGTAATCCTATGTATTTTATGCATTTAAAAATATTTTCCTGAGAAGGGGGTCTATTTGCTTCACTAGACTGCCAGAGTTTAAGAACTCCTACTCTAGACCTAATAGAATAAAAATGATAGGGCAGGCAACCAATTATTTTAATTAAATATCAACTTGTTAGGTTTCAAGTCTCTGCATCTCCGGGAGCACTTGGCAGGGCACCTTCTCCGTTTGCCAACTGCCTTAGAATGCTGCACTGAGCATTTGCTTCAAAGATTTTTTGTACAGTGTTTTGCCCTCAGTAGGCCTTCAAGAAATACTTGTTGAATGAATACATTTCAATAAACCCAATAAATATTATTGTGTGCATTATAGTAAGAAAGGAGGTCTGACTGCCCCATCGTGCTTTTTAAAAAAAAAAAGGGCATTCTTTCTCTGTGTGGTAACTATTAAACCCAATGGCTGAGTAGCAGGAACAGTGATTTTCTACAGTCACAGAGAAAGGCAGCAGAAGCTAGAAGGACCAAGAATTGGGGGTGCTATACAGCACTGGATAAGAGAGTGAAAGGCCATGTGACCTTGGTCAGAAGTCATTCTGAAAAGTCCATTTTTATATTTGTAAAATGAGGATAGTAATACTTATACTACTAATCCTTCTCAGGACATTTTGTAATTTTTTTGTGATTTTTTGGTAATATTTTATAAAAGAGCTAGATAAATCTAAATTACTCTTATTATACAAGCTGTCCCCAAAGTCTCAGTGCAGAGACATCACCTTGTCAACAAAGATTTGTAGAGTCAACGCTATGGTTTTTCCAGTAGTAATGTATGGCAGTAAGTGTTGGATTATAAGGAAAGCCAAGCTGGTATTTTATAGTTCTTCTATGCATTTATAGATGATAAAAGACAGCATGCAATTAGCACTTACATGGCACACAAAACCCACTCCCTCCCATTGCTCCTATTGTAATGAGACCAAATGACTTTTAACCGGAAATCCCCGGGGATGGGCCGTTGAGTGTATCAAGTAAGAGAGGGGGACAAAAATATCTTCTTCTCCCTCCTCAGCCAGTTATCTTAAATCTGTTGTCATGTCTTATCATTGCCAACTTTACAACATCTGTCATGCACTTCTCCTTAGACTCTCTTGTATGGGCTTTCATAACCTCTGGCCTCCTGAAATAGCTTTTTAATTGGGTCTCTCTGACTCAAGTCTCTCCTCACATCAATCTGAGCTGCTGAAGTGATTTTCCTTAAAGTGGATCTGATCATGTCATCCCTGCTCCCCCAGTAAGTTCCAGTGGCCTCCTATTATCTCTAGGACCAAATACTGAATGTTCTGTTTGGCACAGGTGGCCCCTTTCTATCTTTCTAGTCATCTTAACCTTGACTCCCCTTCACCCTCTCCCTTCCACAAATTCTGATACAGCTCCACTGGTCAACGTCCTGTTCTCCCTTCTGTCTGCCTTCACGCTGGAGATCCCCCATGCCTGAAATACTCTTTCTTCTTACATCTCTCTGGCTTCCTTCAGACTTGGCTCAGATCTCACCTTAGCAGGAAGACTTCCTCTGATCTTCTCTATCTTCCATGTCTTCCCCTCTCAGATGGCCTGCATCTACTCTGCACATATGCTGTACATACCTAGTTATTTACATGCTGTCTCTCCTATTAGAACGTAAGACAGGCTAATGCCCTCATCAGTCAGCTCTTCCTGAGCCCCAAAGCTGCGAATGACTCCCCCCCATTCCCTTGCATGTACCTATATATGTAACTGTTGTCTTCCCAGATTGAATGTAAACCCCTTGAGGGCAGGGACTTTCTCTTTTGTCTTTGTTTCTACAGCACCTAGTACAGCTTCTGGCACACAGAGGTGCTTAATAAATGCTTGTTAACTCACTGATAGCATCTGAAGTTGTATCGGCAGGACACAGTAACTATCTCTGTGACTGGTGATACCACATAAAGTGCACGCTTTGGAAATGACATGGGTATCCTGGATGGGGTACAGAGGAAATCTACGAAAATCATCTGAATGCTAAATGACTACAGAGAGCAATTAGAAAAGAAAAGCCTTTTCAGTCTAAAGGAGATGTGATAACAGCCCTTGGTATGCCAAAGGATATTGTAGGTGGGGACAATGATTTCTTGCATAGGTACCAAAGGAAGAGAAGAAAATAAAGAAGACCTCATTTCTCTGACTTTCACAGAGAGCCCACCTCACAAGCCAGGAGCTATACCATTTATGTCACAAGAGAAAGTCGATGCCCATCTCAAACTGCCATGGTGAGAAATTTCTTCAGATCATCTGGACATGTGAGCCATTTCCCAGGAGACATGACCTCTTGGTTCAGAAGCACAGCATCAGGGCATGTCTGGGAAATGCCACAGTAGGACATGTCTGGGAACTCAAACTGCTCAGCATTATGGATAACAAAATTCCCTGTCACCAGCCCTACCATCTGTTCTCCTCATTTCCATCAATGTTGCCATAAGCAGATTCTCCTGAACATATTTTCAACTGGTCTAGGTCCCTGTTGAATCAGCCTCTGCAGACTGGGTCAGCACAACTCTCCAAGCAGCATCTGCAGCCAATCCCAGAAGATAAAATCCCATTGGGACATGGAGACTCAGTGCTGTAATATTTGAACAAGAAAACCACTGCAGCCAGATATACTTTCATTGCAGAAGGGCTGTCTCAATTCACTGATTCTCTTTCCCTCGAGCAGAATATCCATATCCAAATCCTGGCAATTTCCTCTAAGAGACACAGAAGCCAGGCATTGGGGATGGCCAGGGCAAAGGCATGGGGACAGGAGAGGAGAAGGAGTGTCATGTGTGAGGAGCAGAGACCGGGCCAATTTGGCTGGATGAAAGAGTCTGCAAGAGGGAGTAATACATGGTAAAGCTTTAGGAATGTAAGTTAGGGCTAGATTGTGAAGGACTTTAAAAGCTAAATGGAGGAATTCCTATTTTATCCTGGAGACAATAGGGAACCGCTGGAGTATACTGAGCAGGGCATATAATCAGATTTGTGCTTAAGGAAAATCACTTTAGCATCAATGTGTAGGGTGGCCTGGAGTGAGGACAGACTTGGGGAGGCCGTTTTGAAAATCTGAGGACCTGAGCTAAGGTAGTAGCCATATGAGTAGGGAAAAGAGATTGGATTTCAGAGACATTGTAGAGATACAAATGGCAAGACTGGACAACTGATTGGATATGGGGAGTGTAGGAGAGTGAAGACTCAAGGATAACACCAAGGTTGGGAACCTAGGAGAATGGAGGTGGCAGAAATGGGGAAGGATTTAGGGTGGAGGGGGACAAAAGGTAATGAATTCCATTTTGGACATATTCAGTTGAGAAGTCTCTGGGAAGTACCAATTTAACCTTGAGTAGGGGTGCTTTAGAATGGATCAGGGGTTCCAGACCTCCTTGCCCTGTCCCATGATCCTGATATAGCTCTCAGGAGAGGGTTGGAGGGCTTTTTGGCTCTAAGACATCGTGACTTCCCATTTCAGCATTCCCTAAGCTGTTTGTCAGTGTTGCCAAGGGGAAGACATAGTCTAAATAGGATGCAGATAGTATTTGTACAATAAAGACCAAAAAAATAATCATCACTGAAAACAGGAAAAGAAATAATAGAATGAGGGTAGCATTCCTACCCTCATTGGCTTCTCACCATCTACCAAAAAAGTAGTATCACACTCTATAACCGTCTCCAATCTATATTTCCAGTCTTATATAAAAGTAATCCCCTAAGCCTCAGTCAATTTGGCCTATTCAGCATTTCCTAAATGGGCTTTTCTGCCTTTGATACTTGTGTTTGGACCATTTCCTCTGTCTGGAGGACCATTCTAACCCATTTCCACATATCAAAGTCTTACTGATTCTTTGAAGTTCAATTTGAATGGTCTAGTTTCTGCCATTACCTGCACTTTGTCTTTTCCTGACCAACCCATTTATAATGCCTCTCCCCTTCCCTATGAATGCCAAAGCACTCAATTTGTTCCTCTCAAGGGGGGTACTTATCATTCTACCTTGTACTGCAGTTGTTCATTTGTATACATGTCTTAGCTTCCCTACTAGATTACAAACAGTGAGAGCAAGGTTAGTGCGTGGCATATCCTTGAACCATGCACAGTACTATACTAGCACAGTGCCTCACACACAGTAGCCACTCAACACCTACTGAATGAACAAAGGTGAACTTATGTGGCTTTCTCTGTTCTAAACTCTTCATTTGCAATTCAATCTGGCATCTCTACAGTAATGGTATTTCAACTTTAACTTCTTTCTTCTACTAAATCTGAAGGTGGGGGAATGAGATCTCTGGGATTCATCTTGGCCACAAGGCAGACATCATAGTTGTCATGCATGAGGACATCGATGGCTACGACATTCCACTGATTTTCCCACGGGTCCAGCTCCAAGATTTCCTTGGAGATGATTTCATGCCGGTCTGAAAAATAGTGAAAGATAAGATAAAATGTTACTGGTTTTGGCCAAATTCATTAGATCAAATTTTAGAACAAATGTAGTCCTCTTCATGAAAACTGCAGTCTAGCGGGAGTCATATTTTAAAATTTATGATGACACTATGCACATGGTCTGGGGGTAACAATGGGAATTGCCCTTGATCTGTTAGAAGGCCTGGGCCACTTCCTGGGAAGTGAGCATGAAGTCTGGTCCCTTCTGGTGGGCCACCTGCTAAAAGACATGTACAATTAGAGGCTGCTGCACATAGGTCCCCAAGGGAAGGGGCCACCCCCTTCTATCCCCCAAACAAGGGTTATATCAAAGATAATTGGCCACTGAGATTGGCCCACTTAGTGGATTTTAAGAGATTTTAAAAGTGCTTGCTGGTTAATTGATCAATGGATTCCTGAAATGTTATATGGTTGCCAGTCATGGAATCCGGCAGTTTCCAAGGAAATACAGTTAAGGATAACTCAAAGGATAATGAAGAGGCATGTGGTGGGGAAAAGCAGGCTACAACACATGACAAATACAATCTTATTCAAGAGGCGTGGGTAAAGAATGGAATCTGAGAAATATACAACTAGAAAAAACAATAGGCAAGTTATATAATAAGAGCAAGGAATAACTGATGGGGAGTTTGTGTGATGCATTGGTATTCATGTATCATGAAGAGAATTCAAGAACTTTATGTGTTAGGAACCAATATCCCAAGGGCACAAAAAGAGGGAAGTGTGTGATCTCTTTGGGGGACAAATAGGAAACAGTACGGCTGGAATTTAGAATATATGAGGGAGAAGTGTGTGAGATAGAAACAGGAGGCTAGGTTTGAGTCTATAGACTGGAATGGATTCACTTTAGTTATTTTTTACCACTTCCCCATCTTTCCCCTTTTCACCTTAGTTTCTATTTATTGCTGCAACTGACCTTTTTTTTTTTTTTTTTTTTTTTGTCAAGTGGCTGTTTTGCTTTGGTTTTGAAATGAAAGCCCCTGGCATTTTTCTTCCAAGGAAAACCCTCCTGATGAACCTAGTTTATCTATAAAACTCATTTTATCTACTGGGGTAATGTTTTCTTATGCCCTTCATGTTGCTAGATTCAGTTCTCTTGGTTATTCCAGGGAAGTGGGAGCAATGCAGGTTTTGCCCCATTGTCTCCTTTGTCCAGCCTCCTCAGCTGCCACCAGCGTGTGTGTGGACCCACCAAGGAATGCCATTGTGCTTTGGAAGCAGCCTAAATAGGGCCAGGTGGTGGGCACACCAGAAATTGCTTGTACTGTCATGGGGCTACATGCCCTGCCTATCACAAAGCCAACAAGCCCACCCACATAAAGTCAGGGAAGGCTTTCCTGCAGCCCACCCAGCTTTTTCCCTGGGCCAGGGGAGGAGGACACAGAGAACTCTCTCTCTCTCTCTCTCTCTCTCTCTCTCTCTCTCTCTCTCTCTCTCTCTCTCTCTCTCTCTCCCTCTCTCTCTGTCTCTCTGTCTCTCTCTCTCTCCCTCTCTCTCCGTCTCTCTCTGTCTCTCTGTCTCTGTCTCTCTCTCTCTCTCTCTCTCTCTCTCTCTCATTCTCCCTCCCTCTCTCTCTCTCTCTCTCTGGCTTTCTGTAATGAAGTCAAATGACTCCCTTATGTACTTGGCACTGTGCCAGAGCTCAACCCCAGCTGAGGCAGTTCTGAAGCAGTCTCTTTATTCTGTTCCCTGGCTGCCCAGCGATTCTGCCTTGGTGCTGCACTGAGCCTGGGCCCTTCTAGTATGGCCCCCCTCTCCTACCTTCTATATCCAATATTGTATCTATGTTCAATCGGGCAGTCCATAAACATTTATTAAGCACCTACTATGTGCTAAGCACTGGGTATACAAGGAAAGGTGAAAGACAGTCCTTGCCCTTAAGGAGCTCACAGATTATGACAACTTGCAAGTGACTCTGTACAAACAAGCTATATACAGGATAAATAGGAGATAATCAACCATGGGGAGGCACTAGAATTATGAGGGATTGGGAAAGACCACTGGCAGAAGGTCAGATTTTATCTGAGACTTGATGGTGCCCAAGGAAGCCTGGAGGTGGAGATGAGGAAAGAACATTCCATGCATAAGATACAGCCAGTAAAAAGTCCAGGAGTCAGGAGATGCAGTGTCTTGTCTGCCCAGCTAACTAGAAGCAGCTAGGTGGTGTAGTGGACAGAGCACTAAGCCTGAGTCAGGAAGACCTGAGTTCACATCTGGCTTCAGAAACTTACTAGCTGTGACTCTGGGCAAGTCACTTAACTTGTCTGCCTCTGTTTCCTCATCTGTAAAATGGGGTTAATAATAGAAACTGCCTCTCAGAATTGTAGTGAGGATAAAATTGATATAATATTCACAAAGCACTTTCCAAACCTTAGAGAGTTATATGATACCTGTTATTAACTAATATGGGTTGATACAAACCTGATACCCTTCCTCCTCTGATACCTTTCCTCCCCTCCTTTGAAATGCATAAAATATGTCTCAAGCATAATATTGGTCCTACTCACTTGTTCCTTAAATATCTATTGACTTATTCAGCCGCCTACCATTTATTTCTGGTAATTTATTAAAACCTTAATCTTGGGGGGGGGGGGAGTCCATGCTAGATGACAGATGAGCATTGTTAGTGTGTTTATTAACTAACACAACACTTTATCATTAGCTACTGATCATTACCAGCTGATGAAACCTACACCATTTACACCTCCCTCTACTTTCCCTCCCTACCCCATCCTGGGAAATTCTTATCCTTATCTTTCAGAACTTCAACTTTTACTTTTTTATGGGCAATGAAAAAATAAGATGAAAGAGCATTGTTCAGTATCATTTTCACATGGACAGCATGGCTTTGATTGGTGAATCAATGTGTCACGTGGCTGTGTCCAAGGGCAGAGTCCAGTCCTCAACCCATGGATCCTTTCTCAGATTTATCAATGGATGACTAATTCAAAGAATAGTGCCTAGTTGTTGGGAGAACTTTGGACACTCACTGCTTTTAACCCAAATTAGGTGGAGCCGTTTCAGTGGGTGTCACAGAGCATGGTGCTTGGATACCAGAGAAATGATTTATCTTTTCGTTTCTATATCCTCCAATGTTTCAATTGCAGCATTTGCTGGGCCAAGCTCCATCATACGGCATGTCTAAATTTAATTTGTTTTCAGTAATGTATGATAACTACTCCAATCTATACTTTCATATCTAAATCATGTAATGGATGAGACTGGAGGAGAACAAACTTTTATGGGAGATTAGTCAAAATAAATAACTTCTAACTCTGCCAGCATCAGAAAAGGATGCTTCTGAGCTGCAAACTTATTAGGTCAGCAGGAAGATGGCAATAACATCATTTTCTTATACATTTGCAAGCTAAGAGATGTCCCAGTTTTTTTATTGGCTTCTGATGGGACATATAGATGATGGCAGAAGATACACACACACACACACACATACACACACACACACACACACACACACACACACACATATGCCCCGTTAGCTGTTGGCAGACATACTTGTATATGCATATTTACTTATTTACCTGTGCAGAAGGATCCATATTTTCAACGTAGGGGAGGTATATATTCTCAGATCTCTTTTAAATAGTCTGTCCCATATGAAGGTTGGATTGAATGATCTCCAAGATCCCTTAAAGCATTAGCATTTTACAATTCAAAATATCTAAATGAAGCCTGACACATCTGGTGGGTGGAGCCTCAAAGAAGGCTTTCCTATGTCTTACACAAAGTTTATTATCAATTATCTGGTAGATGGTAATTAGTACATGCCCTACTTTGGGGCAGTGGTTTGGGGCTTTCATTGGCACACATGTAACTTATTACAAAATACTCATGCCATGAAGAATGAGATTTTCTGGCACTAAAAATATGCATTGATAAATAGAAATATTAAGAAATACCCTATATTTTATTCCTTTATCTGGTGTGAGCTAGACAGGTCTCTACCTTGCCTGACTCTAGTCCAGACTCTTGATGGGATGCCTCTGGTAAAAAGGGTCATGGGTCTAGCTGCACAACCCGATTTCAACCCAATTCTGGAGGGCTCTAGGGGTCCCTTGGACTTTCTTGCATATAGATTTAGATCCAGAGATATGACGGTTTACATATCACCATGAGTGAGTCTTCTACTAACCAGTACCACAGATGAAAGTAAGTATGGATTCAGTTCAGGATCTTGGTCAAATGAAGTCACCAATGATCCCCTTACCAGAACAGCTTACAACTTCTGGAAGCAGTTTCTGGAAGGTCCTGGATCTTTGGAGACTCCGAGTATCCCAGTTCTGAGGACCTGCCACCTAAAGCTTATTGGCTTGGCTTTCTAGGATCTCCTAGATTCCCAGTGGTCCTCGGTGCACGCTGAAAGCAATCTACAACTAATATGATGCCACAGGGAGTAAGTGGGGTCTCTACAACATCTCGACCTCTCTGTGCCATAGGGAAAAACTGAGGAATCCTAACAACACTCCCCAGGGGAGATGACCAATTATCAGTTGATGATGATACACAATAATGAATTCCATAACTACTGAGTGAAACACGGATAATGTGACTGCTAATGTAATAAACAGCACAAATGGCACTTTCATAATAAGATGATAAATAAAAATGGCAAATAAAGAATAGGAATATAATATTACTAGTCCTCCAAAAAGGAACAAGAATCAGAGAGCTTGGTTTCGTTTTCTTGTCTTTATATCTGTAGTGTCTTGTACATGGTAGGCATTTAATAAATATATGTTGAATTGAATGGAATTAAACTCTTAACTGAAAATGACAGTATTTTCTGCATTGATCAAATGAGATATTTGTAAAGTGCTTAACATAGTGCGTGGCACATAGTAGATGCTTAATAAATGCCTATTTTTGTCTTCCCCCTTATTTTCCTTTGTCTGGCCAGTATAGTTAGAAGCATTCACCGGGTGAATGTCTCTGAACTTTTGTCCAGTTGTTTCAA